TGCTGCTCGCCTAGCCGCTGTGTATCAAGATAAAGAGCACTACTTGCATCAAAAACCCAACCGGCATCAAGGGAGGCACACCAAGCAACACAAGAAACAGCTGGTCCAACTCTGCACCAAAGCATGGCAGGCACCCTTGCACCGATGGCAACCTCACAGAAGCGGTTATCAGTGCAGTGCCTGTGGCATCAGAGTTCACCAGGCACTGACGGCCTCCACCATTGAGGAACGCATCCAACAGCCTTGCCCGCAGATCCAGCTTGATGAGGCACACCCTGATATGCACAGCCCACACAAGCCAATTCATCGCAAGGCCACCAGGGCGCAACTGATAGCAAGTTTGCTTGAGAAACAGGCTCAACAGCAATCCGACAGTGCCCACACCCTTGACGAAACCAAAGGGTATCTCAGATGTACCACTTGTGGACAGAGCATTCACAAAAGGACGAATGAAGAAGCTTTCAACGCCTATGTCCAAGGTCCCTGTGTCAACCAGCCTTTTGAACATGACCACAGTGGACATGCCACCCATCTCCTCTGGCAACGAGGGGATCGCATCCACTGCAAGCACTGTGGCACCCAGACGCACACAGATGCTCAAGGCAGGCCCATAGCAACAGCCACCTTGCAGAAAGCGTGTAAAGGGGCGCCCATTGCGGCCTCCCCGCCTTTGTCTGAGTTCTTCAAAAGGCAAACTCCAGCAGCCAAGACTCCAGGAAAGCCTGACACCGAACCAGGAGAGTCAACAGCACATGGCTCTGGCACTCTAAGCAAGACCCAAGCAGGCCATGATACCCAGCCAACTATGGGCTCCCTTGCTTCCGCACCGAGCCAGACCAATCTGTCTCCTTTGGTTCCAAGGCAACTTCACTACCGTGCAGCCACCAGACAGGCAGAGGCACCCATGGCCTCCCACAACCGAGACAGATGCGGCGACACAGGCCATGAACCCCAGCCTGAAAGTCAAGCACCATGGCAAATGCCACATGCACCGCAGGCTTTGCTGCCACATGCTGCCAAACGCGGCCGGTCATGCTCCTCAGCTTCCTTTGGAGAAGACACCGAAAGTGGAACAGAAGACCCAGTGCTCGACGTCGACTACTTCTAGCCTGCAGCTGGCAGCCGTGCGGCATAGGTCAAAGAACCTCTCGTTCAGCAGACACAAAAGGTCTTTAGGAAAAAAATACATACATACATACATACATATATATATATATATTCTATGTAGAGTTTAGCAACTCGCTCGCTTTAATTAGCTTTGTTAGCAGGCATATTGGTTTCCGACCTGGTCTCTTAGGACCCTGACTGACTACTGAAACCGGGGCAACATATTGTCAACACGTGACGAGATCAGGATATTAACTTGATCGTTTGAATACAACATGGCATCGGCAAGCGACAAGTCCGGAACATGTATGAGTAAAGTTGTCCATGTTTTTGTGCCCAGCAATTTGTTATATTCTCATTGAGACGAAGCTCAGGAGCTGGCTTCACTGGCAATGGAAGACCTTTTGCAGGGAGACCAATGCACTTCGGACATTGGTGATAATTAATGTATATAGATCAAAAAGGAACAGGATCAAGCAAATAGAACAGGATCAACACGAAAAAAAAGAAGAGGGTCAAAATGGTCTGGTCCGCTGGCCCTTGTCCCGCTGGTGGTGGTCTTCTTTTGTCCTTTTCCCTTTGCCTTCTCATTGTTTCTTGGCGGTCTCTTGCTTCTTCTAGTCCATTGGCATCAATTAATGATCTTGGGGTGTTTCGAGAGTTCTGCAAAAAATCACGAGAGTTGTGCATTTAACGTGTTTTGCGAATTTAGCAAGTTCCGCAAGCATTGGCAAGCACTTGGACGGCACAGATTGTGAAATAGCAATACCTTGCAGACACCCATTGGCTTGTGTTTTGCTGGGCTCTCGGGTGGGCGCTGTGCCCTTTACCATCCCCCTCCAGCACCAGGAAAAAGGAACTATGCATTCTTCCAAAACTATTGCGCGTGCCACGAAAAACAAAGTCAACCCACAGCACACACTCGAGGTAGGGTTCGTTCGGCCTGAATGCCACTTGCCCTGAAGCTGCCCTTTGTGTTTCAAAAAGGCTAAATAGACAGGGTTGACGTGTAGCTGCGTCTGACAGAGCACAAGCAAGTTCGAAAGAACCGGAAGTTCCAGAGTTCTGAAATTTCAAAGTCTGGACGAAACCGAGCAGATCAAGGTCTAGAAGTCTCAGAACCGTTGTGATGGCCAGCAGCTTGTTCTAGTTACAAAGGGGTTCGCTCTGGGGGGCGTGGCACCCTCCCCCACAAGCCTCCATCGGTGCCACGAGATCGGCACCGCTTCTTCAAAAGAGTGCCCCTGCAAGACAATCAAGAACCTTGAATGCTGTTTCTGTGTTGCTTAAGTGGCGTGCTTGCCATGACATCTGCGCTTTGAGGTTCACAAAGTGCCACAAAGTGCTGCGACCTGCCACAAAATCTGCACTTCAAGGTCTGCCAAGCGCTGCCTGTCAGTCCACAAATGTGACGGAAATGTACGGGGAATATTTTAGTTGATTACGTTCTTGTTTTTTCGACCCCCGTTATGATATGTTTAGTTGATGCCGGTATCTAAATTTCAAAAGTTTTTTTTTCTGGTCGCTGCTTTCAGCAAATTGCTGCACGTGCAAAGCTTGAAGCAAAGAACTCGCTATGTTGTTTGTTGCTGATTGCCCTTAGATACTCTCAGCTCTGTATTTTCATATGGGATTTCTGGGCTTGGACGGTTTGTTGGAGGAAGGCTAGCATTAGATCCTTTCGACACTGGCGACCCTGCTCCACTGCAATCAATCCTGCACACTGCAATCTTGAAAATACTACCATTGATATATCCACAAGATGATATGAACAGCTTTTGCGCTTATGCTTTTGGTCTAACAGGACCTGGTGGGCATTCAACAATTGCAATTATTTCTGAGGGTTTTGCATGGTTGTGCAAAATTTGCATGGTTTTGCCTGTTCGATTCGACTTTGGATTTTGGGATTGAGTTTGCTCTTAAAAGCAAGGACTTTCCTGAAATTAATTGTTGTTTCGTTTTACCAAGGAGTCTTTAAAGTCGCCCACCCAAGCTGCTGAATTTGGTGCCTGCAAAACTGGATTTGGGGGTTGGCCCTTCGACGACGGAGCGCCTTGGCTTGAAGCATTGAAGGGCCTTTTGAATGGTAGTAATGCCCTTTGTTCCTAGTAGTAAGGCCAGGAGCCCCTAGTAGCGTCCTTGCTCCTACTAGCGATGCCAGGAGCCCCTAATAGCGTTCTTGTTCCTAGGCTAGGGCTTTTGCAGGTTTGATCTCACTTCGAAGTGCTTGCACTTGCTTGCGTACTAGAGCTGCTACAAGTGTCATTTACCTCCACGAGACGAGGCCCAACACATGTAATAACGGTACGGCTGACAGGACCTCAGGACATGGAAAGTAGTGTCTCGCCGCCGGCATCAGTACATAGAGGTCTTAGGAATTCCTCACTATATAAGACACCTTATCTAAGCAAAAAATTCATTTATATCTATCTCACTTTGACTTTCGTTCAGACCTCCTGGCCTCCAATCAGATTCAAAGGCTGCAAGTCATCGGAAGATCATGTGACTCAGGTCTTCATCGAGTCAATGTACCGAGCCTTAGCAAGGCCTTTCGCCCATGCAATCGCTGGAAACTTCAGTTTCTCCAGCTTTGGAGCAGAGTCTGGGCATTTCCGACTCTCGGCAAGACGGTGAGTGAAACATTGGTAAAGTCATTACTCATGATCCCCAAAAGCAAGACTATGACTCGATGTATGTGGCTTGCTTGGCCTCGTCGTGAGTTTATGCATCCAGGTGGTGTGTTTGGTTGCAGCGGCACGACTCAAATTCTGCAACACCTCAGGACTGGAATTTCTCGTGGACCCATCCATCCAGGAGCCTACGATCATATCCACGCCGGCCGTGATTTATCCCCGAGGATTCAATTTGGCAGTTAGTGCTTCGTCTCTTTAATCTTGCAAAGGCTCATTCGATCTCACACTCAGATTCGTTTGAAGTCAATTGAGCGTGGAAGGTCGGAATTGTGCATCAATCTCGAATGCGTCAGACTGATGGATTCTGGAACTGAGGTCCAGCAGGTGCTTGCGATATCCAATATCTAGATGGAGTTGTGGAACTTCGCAACACTGGAAAGTTGCCCTTCGGTCAAAAGCTGGTGGTCCAGGCCGTGGTTGTTTCTTTTGACAATTGTTTACTACACATATTTACAAACTGCTGCTTTGAGTTTCAGTGTTCACTGTGTTTACACTGATGTATGTCAGGTGTCTCCCAAGGGTGCCGCGGTGATTGTGTAGTTGCAGAACAACATTTAGCTTGAGGTTGATCCGAAAAAATGGTTGAAACAGATTGATTTAGTGGTGCACAGCCAGCTGAGCTGAGCCACACGCCAGCTGAGCCACCCCGTGTTGCAGGCTCAAGTGTGGTTTCAGAAACTATAGGTTGAGACACAAAGCCACTGGCCGTTGATTTTTTGTCAGACTGCTGTCAGTTTGCAGAAACATTGCTTCCATTTAGACTCTAGACCATACTCTGCAAGTGCTTTGTAGTGGGCAATCATCCCTGAGAATGAATAGCTAGCAAGTTGTAGTGCAGGCTATTCGTGCTTTCTGCACGACCACTCGAAGGCAATTGGCCTGCGAGTAAATGCCCCAGCTTGACTTGTGTCCAGCTTAAAGCTGTGGACACTCTGGGACGTTCCATCTGCGAAGTCAGTGCGACCATTTGAGAAAGGTGCATCGAAGCGCCTAGAAGCCAAATTTGCAGCTCTCACCGTACACAGGACGCATTTGTGCTAAATTGTTCAATTGGGTCATAATGGGTCTAATAAGATAAGTTTGTCACCCTACTCCTAGACTTACATCACATGCTTTGGTGCAACCAAGCACCTTCGGCTGTTCAAATCATTCAAATCCAATCTAGCCCTACCACTATATATGGAGTAAAACCTGTGACAGGTAGCCCACACCATGATGCTGGAGCAGCAGGCGGCAACCTTAATTGACTGGCCAGCAGTCCACTAGCTGCTAGTGACCAGGGTGGGGGGCTATTTGATTGTCAAGCTGGCAAGCTGCGACTGGACAATGAACTGGAATAGATTGAATACATTCTCGGGAAAACTGCAGGGAAAAGATCAGACAAATTGCAATTGGCTGTTCAATTCGATTCAATCATCAGCCTTGTATACGATGATTTCCACGCAAGCTTCCAAGCTTTCAAGCTTCAGCCAAGACATGTACCGTTTGGTTGAGACTTGGTCATGTCTTTGGTTTGCGAGGAGAAAAGGCCAGAGAAATGATCCATCATGACAGGCACTGCGGCCGTTTCAGATCTCTCTCAATGAGCTTCTGAAAATGGTTCGGGGCTTGGACACTGCAACAAGTTGCAGTCACTGTTTGTTTCATTGATGTATCTAATGATTCCAATGTGTTCCTGCGTTTTCACACATTAGATAAGGGTTAGCTGGATTTGTTCAAACTGTTCTCCCTCGATGGAGGTGCTGAGACTGGAAAACGAGAAAGAAGCGTCCCTGGGACAGCGCATGAAGAAGGATCCCAATGTTTGGCCAGAGCCTAGTTCTTTCAAGGTCTTTCTGTTCTCAACAGCAGAGCTTGATGCATCTTGAGATGCCATTCACTGTTGGACATGGCTGATGCTTACTTCAAAGACACAGATGCATGCATGAATTGGGTTCCGAGTTTAGTCTGAGAAAGCAAGGGAACGTGCCATGGCGCGATTCTTGCTACTAGGGTGCGGGCTAAGTGCAGTTGTTGCTTGGCGGCCAGTTGGATGAGTCAACTCTGTTTATGATATATAGGAGTACGTAACATCATCATTCGATAAAACAATCTTTTATGTTGCAATCTTGCTCGAAGCTCGCTGTACGTTCTTTTGCTTTCATTCAGGTCAGTGCACAATGCCCGGCAGAGCTGCCCAAGTGCGCTGGTAGCTTACCTCCCATGATTGAAACGAACATGGGACAGTTTCACGCTGCTGGACAGATGCAAGGGCAATACAGTTGGCAGAGCGGACTTGTTATTCATTCAGTGCAGCGTTTTGGATGTCTACAGGAGATGATTGGCCAGACATGCCGCAAGCTTGGTGTTCATCGACTTGTTGGTTACTTGCAGTTGAGGGCCGGACCGAAGCAGCACAAACGCAGAAAGCGATACCAATAGCAGCCCGAAAGCCGATTCCGATACCAATCCGTTTGAGGTGGTGACTACTCCTGTTGCAGCGGCATGCAGACCAACTGCGGAGCTGGATCTGTTTGTGCTGGTGAAGAGTCAAGGCCGCCGACTGTTGAGCCGTGTGGTCATGTGTGGCGATTGCCCGGCAAGCCGTGTATGCTGTGCAGTGTATGATACAGTATATATATATATATACACAAAGACAATACACAGATGACCGCCATTGAAATATAAAGTAAAGTAGGCCCATTTAAATGGGGCCTTACCTTATTTCTATCGTTCTTTTCTGCAAACAGCTTTGCTGTAAGGGGTTCTCAATCCTTGCATAGAAGCAATCCTGGGCCAAGAGGATTTCTGGATGCTGGGCTGAGATGATTCTGCTTTGTCTCCCATGGTACTTTTGGCTTTGTCACCCTTTGTCCCTTTTGGATCCCGGGCTGAGATGATGCTGAATGCTGGGCTGATATGATTTTGCTTAATCTCCGTTTGCTTGCACTTTTCCCCAAAGAGCTTTGCTGGGAGGGGTTCTCAATTCTTGCCTTTGTCTCCCACCGCTTTTCTTGAATGCTGGGCCGCGATAATTCAAATTCTGCTTTGTCTCCCTTGATGTCCTTTGTCTCCCATGATTCTGCTTTGCCTCCCGCTGCCTCCTTGATTTCCCATGGCTCAAAACTGGCGGCAAAAAGACATCACTGTTTGGGGTTTATGCTGCTGTAATTGGATTGTCCTGTTTGTTTTCTTCTTTACAAATCAGGTGTGGCGCAAGATCGATTTGCAGTGGCATTTCTTCAGAGTCCAGGTTGCAGATGGACAAGTGCCATGATAAGACATGCAAATGGCAAATGGGAAAGATTCTGTTCTGAGGTTTGCGGCCCTTTGTCTGAGTGTAATGGGCTTGGTGCTGTTTGCGAAAGTGCTGGAGTTCCTGAGACGAACAAGGAACAGCTCGTACCTAGCAAGCAGATGGAGCCCATGCAGCCGATGAAACCCATGGCTCCCATGAAGCCAATGGAACCAATCAAGCCGATGGAACCAATGGCCCCCATGCAGCCAATGAAGCCGATGGAACCAATGGAACCTATGCAGCCAATGAAGCCTATGGCTCCTTTGAAGCCAATGGAACCAATGAAGAGCTTGCCTAAGGATGACACGTGCGTTCAGGCTTTTTGCTTTTGATTGCATAGAGAAGTGGAAACGCAGACATGCAACCGAATGCAACAGATGGAAGACATCCTAGCATTCTTGTATTGAATGCTGCACAGTAGACTAGGGCACGCATTCGTGGTAATTAGGCAAGAACGTGAAAAATCAAGGTCTACTGTGATTACTACTGAAAAGTCAAGTATTCCAAAAAGAAGACAAAACATGCACTAATGCTACAAGTTCCGCCGACCTTCTGTTGAAGTGCGCTGCACATTGATTCCGTGGGTAAAGATCGAGGTTCCAGCCCTTCAGACCTTCAGCTCAGAATCCACCAACAGAGGCCTGCCTGGGGATGCAAGGATACATACATTTAAACATGAATTCAAATGTCCATCTAGATGTGCATTATTCTTGAAATATTGCATTTGCATTGCATTGTGTTATTTCCGTTCATGGCACAACTATATACATATATATATATACATATTACCTTTAGTTTGAATTTGCTGCTTCGAGTTGCATATTCACTGAGAAAGTATGGGTTCATAGATTTGGCTTACTCGATCATGTGTGTATGCAGTGAAGAATGATCCTTCTGATTCTCTATAACATAAATATATGTACGAAAGTAGGTTCCCACTGCCAGGTCCATAACCATGGTTGCATCATTGGTTCGTCTTGCAACTTGTTTGACTGAGAAGGGCTGACTTTGTTGGATTGCTACTAGTAGCTTCTTGCTCCTAGTAGCTATTTGCTCCTAGTAGTAATGCCCTTGTTACTAGTAGCGATGCTCTTGTTCCTAGTAGCGATGCCCTTTGTTACTAGTAAGCTTGTTGTTCTTTTGAGCAACATTACGTTGGCATCATGTTCACTAGTGTGGCTTTAGAGACGCAGTTGCAGGTCTTGCGTGCAAAGTTGCATGTTGGCCGTTGTTTGCATAAATTGGATCATTTGGTTTTACTCAAGACTCAAGGATGGCTTCTTGCTTTGCATATTTTTCAGATTGCAAGTTCAACGCAAACAACACCTGAGGTGCTGGCCATGCTGCTTCCAGTATTGATGGTTTGGAGATATGCTGTCCCGCTGGTTGCCCTCAGTGCTCTGTGAGCGCGTAGCTCGGTCCATTTGTTGGGTAAATCCCGTATATTTACCAGGCTACCGCCTGCAGCCGCCGACCCCAAGGGAAAATGTAGTGGCAGGGTTGGGTCCCGGGATGGTCGCGGGCGGGGTCCTGCCAAAATCTAGACAAAGCCAAGAGCATTCCTACGAAAATGCTGGAAAAGCCGTATAGGCATGAGTACAACAATGGAAAAAAATAGGTTAGCAAAAGGTTACCAATTTTTGGGGGAAATCTGGGAACCTAAAAACAAGAGGAAGCGCTAGAAAATTCTTGGAAAAGCATCCAGCCGAAAACGTAACAAAATCTAGACAAAGCCTAGAGCATTCCTAGGAAAATGCTGGAGAAGCCTTTGAAAATCCCATAAATCCAACAGAAAACGTGACAAAATCTACGAAAAAGCAAGGGCATTGGCCGGGACCACGCCGCGACCAGCCCGGGATTCGAGCCCGGGACCATTTTGGACCGTGCTTATTTTCCCGCGCGGGTGGAGAGGGTGCCCCAAGATGTAAATCAATTGGGATGGCAGAATCTTGGACAATCCAGGTCGCCATCAGGTCGCAATCAGGTCGCAATCCCGTCAAATCCCGTAGCTATCAGGTCGCTTTTAGGTCGGGATTTCGTCACTGCAACAAGGGTCCGGAGGGGTAGGGGAGGTAAGGTCTAAGGCTAAGGACTAGGTCTAAGGCTAAGGATAAGGCTAAGGCTTAAGTCTAAGGCTAAGGCTAAGGCTTAAGGCTAGGTTAAGGCTAAGGCTTAAGGCTAAGGCTAACATCGACAGTCACGCCTCACCCCACGGTGTGGGGTCGGCGGATATAATTACTCTATATATACCTGCCTAGCTTGACTTTGGTGTTTGCTCAAGGTCATCTCTCAACGGTGTGCTGAGTGCCACCTGTGTTTGTGGTGATGATTCCCTGCTAATGGCCAAAGGGAATGCAGTTCCTTGTCGGAAGTCGAAACTATGAAAGTCTTTTCCTTTGAGCCACGTGTGAAACCATTACGAACAACTGCTTTGGTCTCAGAATGATTCAACACAAGCATCCAACCAAGGCCTCTCCCATTGACAATGAAGGCTGTGATGTGGGAGATACCTGCAATTCCCGAGGCGCCAAAAGATCCTATTAACGTTTTGGGACCGCCTTCGCATCACTGACTCTCGGATGTCCGTGATGATATGTCAAACAGATGTCAACTTCAGGGTGTTTCACTCATAATGGTTAGGCAGAGAAAAACCATTCCGCAGTATGCAGGCAGCTCTATGGTCAATGGCCAAAAGTTCTGTTGTCCATCAGGCCATAGTGTGAGTGGCCAAGTTCCAGCGGGGTGGCTTTAGGACATGTAATTTTGAATGCAAGCACACAGACAAAGTGGAATCAAAGAGTAGGCAGTACAGGTTTTGCCTAGTATCCAAGATTTGCCATCACAAACCTGTGCGACAGTAAGCACGCAAATACGATGCAGCGTGTGTTTGTTGGCAAGCTGTGGTATTGTACATTGACGTTGCAACAATACCTGGAGGTTGCCCCGACGACTGCAGCCTATCGGTGTCTCAGAGCAAGGTGATATCTGCCTCTTGCCAGTGCCCCGTTGATGCTGTGAAGGCTCACAGTGTAGCACTGAAGCGTGTCCCCCTTTCCTTGTTATGTCTTGCATTTGTTTGGTGCAGGGCTGGACTGCAACGGAGAAGTGCGCCGCATTCGCAGGGCTTGTCCTTCTCCTTGGTGCAGGAGGGGTCAAGGAGGTCAAGTGTGGGCAGCTTCCAAATCATCGAATCATTTCGAACCATAGAGACCAGCTACGCTCTAGTTTTGATTGTGATTGAAGATGATTGATGATCGTTTCAATATTATGGTTCCAGGAGCTTATGCCTTCCACAAGCAGCAGTCCCCAGAACTCTCCAAAAAGCTGTTGCAATAAGATGTATATACACATTGCTCATCCTTTCTTGAGAACAACGAACAGAAGCTTGGCTGTATGATCAAACAATATCAACCATGCCAATTGCGGAGGTCATGCTACAACTCGTTGCTTTCTTGGAAGAGTACTCTTAACGTCTTCAACATTTACTGGAGTTACAGTTCAATCAACTATGCGAGCAACGAGCACATTGAAAAAAGGTCACTGCTGAAACTGCTGAAAACTTTGTTTGCTGAGATTCTTAGATTAGCACGGGTCACGGTGTACTCCACTGTTGTACATAATTCGTTTTGATTGACGATAGCGCGAGCCAAGGAGAAGACGTTCTATTGTGATGAGCAGAGTGTATCTCATGACAGACATGTCGCAAACTTTTGGTTGTAACATCAGACGCTTTGCTGTGGAGTGCGATGCCAGTACTGTATTTTTGACGCACGCCACATTTAGAACTGCGGCAATAGACAGTATTTGAAGAGAGAGGACAACAGCTCATGACAAAGCCATGGACACTGTGAATTCCACGATGTCTACTGCCGTGCTTATTTTTGGTAGAGCGGTCGGATTTTGTGGCCTGCATGCATTCGGTCCTAATGAAATGCAAAGATATGCAGGTCAAACAGCTGTTGCCACTCGAAAGTGCGTTTGGCTAGGCACGTTGCTGACTCGTGCGTCCTGCGCCATTGTGCAGACTGCGCAGTCTAAACCTTCTTGCGTTAGTTCGGAAAAGCTAAAGCCTCGTGCACCGCATGCACTTGTTTTATCCTGTTTCCGCAGATACGCATTGTGTGATTGAATACGCTTCCCTCACTATGCTGTCAATTTTGCCTCTTCAATGCACCAACACAGGTTTTACAGACCCATGAGAGAGGACCTTCTCACCTATGCAGCCCAGGCAAGGTGCTAGTGCACAGCTTTTGAGAGATACTGCAAAATTTCCTCTACAGATTCAAGGCACCCAGGTGGTCAAAATGACCATTTTGTAGAGAAAAAATTGGGTTTCTACAAAATGAACCACCTGGGTGGTCAAATCTGTAGAGTGATCAGGGTAGTTTTTGAGATTTTTAGCAAACACATTATTTACTTGGGGGGATTGATTTTATAGAAACGTCATGTTCTTACGTATCTTTCCGTTGACTCGAGCATGTGCACTCACCCACCATAATTTTGTAGAGGGTTAGAACCCATTTTGTAGAGATGGTTGGTTAAGTATCTTTCTGTTGACACAAGGGTGTGCACCCACCCACCATAATTTTGTAGAGGGTTTGAACCCATTTTATAGAGATGGTTGGTTAAGTATCCTTCTGTTGACACAAGGGTGTGCGCCCACCCACCATAATTTTGTAGAGGGTTAGAACCCATTTTGTAGAGATGGTTGGTTAAGTATCTTCCTGTTGACACAAGGGTGTGCACAGGTGTTGAACCATGTTGAACCCATCTTGGAAGCATGGGAAGGGTGATGGTTTTGAGAAAATCTAAACAGTTATATAAACCTTGTGATGGAGTTCAACTCCAGCACCAAACCGTTTTGGAATCCAAACCTTTTTGGAAGTCAAAAACTTGGAAATGCATCGGGAAACTCATCGGGAAATGCATCGGGAAATGCATCGGGATGTGGCTTTGCATTTGTTGGACTGTCGGTTGCAACTTGGAGGGATTGATTTTATAGAGAGCGCACTTTTCTGATAAATTTCTGTGAGCTCACTATGGCCAACCCACAACCCAATATTATAGACTTAAGGTTTCTATCTCGGGGGGCTGGATTTTGTAGTGGATTGGTTGGGTTGAACCTGGGGTACCCCATCTGTAGGCATAAAATGGCACCCCCTGGGTGGTCATGTGAATTTTACAGGGGATCTTTTGAGTACTTTTTAGAACTTTGAACATAGTAACATAGTAGCGCCTTGGGAAAGAGCTGAGGATGTGATGTACCTACCCCTTCTGCATCAACGGCTTTGTGATCAGTTAGGCAAGCCGAGTTTGGAAGGGTTTGCTTGTCAATTGGACGTATGATGATGCCTGCCTGGGATAACACAGCATGATGTATCTAGGTGATCGCAGCGGATGCCGTGTGATGACAAGGAGCCGGGAGACACTTGGTTGATTATTGCCCTATATAAATTTCTATGGACGGCAGTTTGCGATCTTTGCCACTCTTTCTCACTCAACGGCAGCTGGTTGCTTCAACCTGTTCCCCGTTTTGAGATGCTTCGAGGTATGTGAACTATGCGCGCATGAACCTCCACTTGTCCTCACCAAAGGCGGCCCACATCATCCTGACACCTTTCTTGAGCACCGAAATATGTATATATATATTATATATATAAGAGGTGAAACATATGTGGCCGTGAAGGACACGTTTTGCAAGCAGGTCCAATTTGTTTGGTGTTGCCAGTTCAGGCAGCTGAGCGCCGAGGTCTCCGACTTCAGGCCAAAAGTTTCTTTGCAAGACAAGGGAAGAAGAGCAGAGCCTTTTGTGAGACTTGCAGAACTCCATCAAGAATAATTAGTAACTCACCAACTGGCCTATGCTTCTGAGGCAATGCTTGCAACTCAGACCGAGGCGCAGAGAATGAGCTTGTTCATGCTTGTTCTATCTTTTCATGTTCATTCCGCAACTCATAACCAGATAACATATGTTAGGGAGTTATAAATAGAGACATGCCGTTTCCAACTTTTTCGTCACGCCTCACACCTTTGGAGGCGGCATTGTACTTCAAGTTGAACCTTGGAGCCCATCGCCAAGGCGTTGTTAGCCGCGAAGAGGCTGCCGAGCCAATCGAATTGAGTCGCAGATGCGCACTTTGCAACTGGTGGAGAAGCAATGAGAAGCACATGTTTGCTACAGCAGCTTCCACATCATGTCGAGAGGACAAGGAGGTTTTTGGACTTCTGCTGAAGGCACTGAAGAACTTCAAAGACATGCATTATGGCGAGATTGCTGATTGTTGGGCCAGCCTCCTGGCTTTTCCGTCATTCAAAACAAACACAACTGCCCTTGACTCAGGTGTCTGCCTGGAACACCGGTCGCAACATTCTCTTCTTGGAGCGGTTTGAGCATTCCAGCCATGCCTTGAGCAAAGGTATCACTGATGTTTATTTGACTGCACTCACTGCTCGTTGAATTGTTTGAAATACAGTAGTCTATTTTGACCTTATTTTGTTCATCATTGTTATTTTGGTCTTATTTTTGTTGTTTTTATGTTAATGCATTATTAAGACCATATTAGCGCCTTATTAAGGCATTAATTAATAATAGATGCATAATATAATGGTGAGGGTGGGGGTAGTCAAGCAGGGGGTAGTATATAGCACTCCATGATGGATTTGCGAAAGCTCCGGCGTGGTGCGGCTCCGATTTGTCAGGGGCAGCTTTGCACCAGACCCAGACTTTACCACTGGCAGTGCTGGGCGCCGGCGCAAGCGGAGGTGGGAAGGTCTTTTGTGCTCTTTGCTTCAAAGATACTGTCGCACAAGCGTGTCAAGCAAGAGTGTTTAGTAGCTTCTTGTTACTAGTAGCGATGCCAGGAGCCCCTAGTAGCGTCCTTGCTCCTAGTAGTAAGGCCAGGAGCCCCTAGTAGCGAACATTGTCAACCTTCGCCTCCATGAGTCATGAGTCTTCCCAAGTCATGAGTTGCATTTGCTTATTTTTGTTTTTCCCATTGTTTCCTGGTGCACCAGTAGGAAATGCTGTAGTGCAGTGATGGCTTCTTACTTTCATGCTTTTGGTGACAGTTTGGTGTGGGTGTGGCTGTGCAAAAGCGTTTGAACGCGCCCTCATTTGGATGTCAGTGGGTTTGTAATCCTTGAGCTTGCTAAGTTTTATTTCCAAAGTCATTTGAAAGGAAAATGTTCTAGAATCCCAGAAGCACAATTTGTGGAGTGGAAGACTCCGGAAGACTGAAATCTTTTCTATTGTCTTTTCGAGTCAGTTGCTGCGTGCACTGCCTGCGCTGTATGCAGGCCTCATGGCCCGACTGACTAAGCTGAAAAGGCTCTTTCAAAAGCTGCTTCGGGGCCGGCTCTAGCATTTTGACTTGTGCATGTTCATTTTCTTTGGGATTCACCCAGCCCAGCAGACAGTGGAAGACAGGAGCAGGTTCACCCTCCAAAACCCTTCTGTCATTCCCAGTCCTCTGATTTCTGATAGATCGATTTTAAACGATTATAAAAGGCGTTACCGTTACAGTAGACCGGACCTTGAAAGCCTTTGCCACGGCTTGCCGGCTTGTCAACATATAATTTGAGCAAGTTCTTGGGGTGGCCTTACAGAACATTGCACGTTGCATTCCCAAGTCGATCGTTATTTCGCACAGAAGTGCTCAGATCCCGGTCTGCCACATGTGGAAAGTTTGATTCTTATGCTGTATCTCGTTATCATCATCACCTCATTGCTTGTGTTTCCATGTCAGACCAAAACATGTTGGCTCATCCAAGTTGTTTCCTGTTTAGAAGCTATGCAGCCATTCAAATCAAACTGTGTAGCAGTATGGTACAGCACTTGACCCTGAGACACAGTCGACCCGATCCTTGGCCTGTCACCTGCCAATGGGCCGCCGGAAATCTGGAGTGTCGGAAGTGTGGGATCCAAATGATCCGAACGAGGCCCGATGTCTCACACATGTTCAGAAGAGTGTATTAGGTTGTTTCCAATCGCCATGTTAGGAGCTGAACAAGAAATAACAAGAATGAGCATGGGTTCGGATCAACAGGTAATACACCGGTGTATCTTGTTGTTCGATCTTTTTCGCGATGTCACGTCCAGATTAGGAATTAGTATTGTTCAAAAGTGCAGGATGCGGATTCTGATGAACTATCTGACCAAATTCCAGAGGCAAGATTCCTGGCACGGTCTAGTCAGTGCGTGAATAATTTTGAAGTTTGCCTGCGACACCGCACTTTGAACTTGAGCGGTTGCAGTCTCATCATTCAAAACCACCTTGGCCTCAAGTTGAAGCTTTGTTGTGAAGCTGGCTCTGAGCCTCTTAGCCTAAGTAAGGACTTTGTGGAATATTCACTGCTAACAGTAAGCTTCTCCAAAAATCTAGGGGGAGCTTCCTTTTTCTTCTCTCGCTGGACAACCTGACGACCCAAGTGCTTCCGCGACATCGGTCAGGGTTCCAACCATGTACAGGGCTTCAGAGAAGCGCATCAAAGGGAATGGCCCAGGACGCAGGGGAGGCTTTTGCTCCACGTTCAAAAGCCCGGAACAGCATCTCAAGAGTGGCATTATCTACGAACGCTTCGGCACCGATGAAGGCACCTTTGGGAAAGGTGCGCCCATTGCATTTGTTGCCCTTGTCAAGCAACAAAGGGGCACAAACAACTCCAAGGGACTTGCAACACGAAATGGCAGCTCTTGTGGTCGCTGCATAAGCTTGGATTGTGCAGATCGTTCCAGGCGGAAGTTCATACCGCCAACCCTGTAGGAAAGCAAACACAGCAAGTTCAAACACAGAGCAAGCTCTTCCCTCACCCACTCTCCAGCGAAGAGTGTTGGCAAATTGCAAGAAGGTGCGAAAATTGGCCCCAGAGAGTTGAGGCCTGCTTTTAAAAGCCATATCAACATTGTTTTGCACTTGCCAAGTAAAGTCATCTGGATTGGCATCCCATGCCCATCTAGGGCATTGTTCACGAGGGGAGGCTCTCGGGCCTGGTTCACAGTCAGGTGGAGGATTGGCCGGGACCGAAGGCATGTCTTTCTTGCAGATTTTGTTGAGATTGGCGAGCCATAATTGTCTGGCAAACACATCTTGCTCTTTAAGCCGGATATCGGCCTGGAGCCTACGTGCCTGCTTATCAATCTGTTGCTTGGCATGCCAGTCGGCGAGGCGATTGAGAATGATATCATTCCGGTTGGAACCAGCAGCGACAGCCACTTCCTCGGTAAGGTCATCTGCCGGGATCTGCTCCAATAAGTGTGCTGGGCACCAAACCACTTGCAAGGGCGTGTCACAAAAGCCACGCCGATGATGCAGCATGGTGTGGAGAAAGCCCCACCAGGAGGCGTGAGTCCACTCCACTTGGACATTGTCAAGCCGAAGTAGCTCACGGAATTGGTCAACAACAGTGAGAGAGTCAGTATGTACCACCAATGGCTGCACTGCCATGGCAAAGGCAGTCAGCACAGCCCAAAGTTCGGCAGAATAGCTGGACAGTCTCCAGTGATGCACCTGACCAGAGGCAAGAAGGTGCTGTTCAGCAGATACTACGGCAAATGATGCCAGTGTAAGCCAGGGATGCCTTGAAAGCTGCACCGATCCGTCAGTCCAGACATGGACAGTGGAAGTCAATGGCTGTGACCACTCAGCAACCTGCAAATCACAGGTTCGGGACACTTGCAACTTGTTGCGTATAGCATCCAGTGGAATTTCAGTAATACCCAAGACGTCAAAGTTCGGGCCCAACGAGAAGGACGACGTCGGTTGTCTCAAATGTGCTGGTAGCGATTGACATTCTTCAACGAAATGATGCAAGGACTCTTTGGAGTCATGGCAGAAACGGCGCATAGAACTCTCCACCAGGCCAGCTGCAGCTAGCCGATCAGCTGTGATAGTGCAACCTGTGATGGCACTTTCCCAGTGAAAAAGGAAGGAGAACTTGTCGTTGGGTATCGCCGCAAGTTTTCTCCGCGCAGAGAGGGTCAGGCCCAAGTCCAAAAAGCCCAGAGCTTTGTCAATATCCTTCCTCGGCATAAGGCAGGCGATACAATAGCACTTGTGAGCAGCAAGGCTTTTCAGGATACACTTGAGATCTGCTGCTGAGAACTCCAAAAGGGAAACTTCAGGTGCACTGAGAACTGAGATGCCAAAAGGGCTACTCCATTCAATGTCAAGGATCTGACATGCTTGGCCGAATTGGGTCATCCATGCGTGCGGTGTAAATGGATCCTGCTCAAACATCCTGGTCCAGCATTGTCGAGCCATCTGCGACGAACGAAGAAAGCGTGCTGATTCAATAATGGTAGCCACTGCACGGAAGAGGAAAGGATCCAACTTGTGGGCCTTGTGCACGATACAAAGCAAGAGGTGCTTAGATCGCCACCTCGGCCGGTCCTGCCAAATAGCATCGGCTATTGCACTTTGAAGCCTGGCCAACAGCCGCTTCGGAATGAAGTTCAGTTGAGGCGCAAATGCAATCTGTGGCAGGACCTTAGTAGAGAGGATCTGCGCACGCTTGTCCCCATCACATGGGAGTGACCGAATAGCCTCGCAGTCCCTGAGAGCAGCCTGGAGCTTCGCACCAGGAAAACTTCCAACATTCTTCTTTGTTGTTTGGACGAAGGCACCAAGGATGTTGACCACCTCAACCAGGCGCATTTGCGGGAAGGCTTGCTTAAGGGCCTTCCGTAGTGGAGCATGGGATGCAAAAAGCTCACATTTACCTGCATTGAGAAACTGTCCACATAAGGAGTCCCAGAGTTCCGTGGCCCGAACTGCAGCAACCAATCCATCAATGGAGGGCATTCGGGTCCACAGGTAGGTGTCATCAATGAAAGCGCGAAATTCAACTCCATCAATGCAGGACACCAGCCAGGCCCAGATGGCCATATGAACATTAATGCAGAGCAAGCTAAGCGAGCATCCCTGAACAACACCGTTTGGTGTAGAGATAGCCTGGGCTCTCGTCCATTGTTTGAATGAAAGAAAGCGGGTCATCCGAGAATAGAGACTGAGGAAGCCACAGACAAAATTCTTCGGGAGGCCCAGTGCCAACATGATGGCAGCACATAGCTTCGGCATTAAACGATCAAAGCACTTGGCTTTGTCCAACTTCAGTGCTGCAAAGGAACCATCGTGGCTATGCGCCTGGTCGATTTCCATCTGGATGGTCATATGTACCTCAGACATCTGGCGCCCTTTAATACCTCCAGCCAGCTGTGGAGGCATCACCTCCCGCTGCCATTGCTGAAGCTGCATAAAGCGAAGACCAGTGTACAGAAGGGTAAAGACTGATTGAAGAGAGATCAATCGTTTCGACAGCGGTGCATCACTTCCATCCTTGTTGTGTATCACCATTCGTACTTGAGTGAGCACTGTTGGAAAGTCTGAAGCACCAGCCTCAATAGCATTGAAGAGATCAGCCACTGGACGAAATGCAGCTGGTGGAGCTTGAACTTCCCGTGTTTGCCATGCGTCAATGCCTGCAGCAGCATCAGGCCTCCGCTTGGCTGCCTGTTGCCAGAGCTGCCCTTCAGTGATAACCGGCAAAGAAATTGGCTTGCCTTTGTCATGGATGTAGGGCCAAACTTGCTGCAAGATCTTCATTTCCTGGTCATGACAGGTGTTGACAGCAAAAACTGTGTCCCACTTCGCTGCGATGGTATCCATGGCTGTCTGAGGATCATATATGATGTTTCCCAGATCGTCTTCAACCAGATTAGGAGGGATAACCCGCCCTTTCTTCTTGAGATATTGATATACAATCTTCCCAATGGTAGGCGATTGTGTAGCCTGTTTCATGGCATCTCTCCATTTCTGGATGGCAGCAACCTTGATGCACTTCATCTCATCCTTGATGGCATTAAGTGTAATTTCCACCAGATGAGGGAGATCGTGTGCAAATACTTGGCGAGTTGCAAATGGCACCAACTGTGCAACTTTCACGCGACGAAGCAGCTTATGTTGTGTGTTGCGAAATGTGCACTCATCACCAGGCCCTGTAGTTGCTCGATCAAATCGTCTTTCCAGTTCACGGAGAGAGCGAAGCACTGACCGGAGAGCATGAAGGCGCGGGGATGCAAGCGCCCCATTGAGGTCCTGTTCGGCAAGAACTTGAACTTTCTGAAATTTCGGTGTACTACCCCGAGTTCGAGGACCTTTATCCCAACTCGCTCCATTGAGCAACAGGAGCTTGACTGCATAGTCATTGTAAATTTGCCACTTGGCATCAGCACTGGATGCGTTATCATAGTCAGCTGCAAATGTGCCCCATAGCTGCTCACTGAAACTGTTGACAGGGCACCCGGGGTCTTCTGGATCAGCT